CGAAAGCTCCACCTCAACATTCCCTTCCTTGAAGCAATGGCCCACATGCCAAGGTATTCAAAATACCTTAAGGGGCTTCTCTCCAAGAATCCAAAGTTCGAAGACCTCACCAATGTCACCCTAGGCAAGGAGTGCTCAGCCTTCATCCTCAACAGGTTTTCCAAGAAGCAACCCGATCTAGGTAGTTTCACCATACCTCTTTGCATCGATACTCATCACATAGAAAATTCCTTGGCGGACTTAGGGGTGAGCATAAATGTTATGCCATTTAAGCTTTATAAGAGGCTATACATAGGTGAACTAAAGACCACGAGGCTTAGTGTCACATTGGCTGATCGATCTGTCATTAGTCCTTGGGGCATTGTGGAGGACGCGCTAGTACGAGTGGGAAAATTCTGTTATCCGACGGATTTTGTGATCCTGGATATAAGTGAGGATTCTGAGATGCCTTTCATACTAGGACGCCCTTTCCTTGCCACCTCCAAGGCTTTAATTGATGTAAATGAGGGAACTTTGATTCCGAGGGATGGTGAGGAGAGAATAACTCTTGGAATTGAACCTAATCATGGGAGTGAGGATGTTAAGAAAGTGGAACCGGGTGATATGAATGCAAGTGGAGGAGAACCTTGCAAGGTGAACCCCACTATTACTGTTGTTCCTTGTGATGATGTGAAGCAGGAAAGCAAAGAGGGCATCTCGCTCAAAGAAGGAAGGAAAAGAGCTTGGAGGGACGGTTAAATCATGCTAATGTCCGGAGGAAGGAAAAGGGCAAAGCAAAAGTCATCGGCCAAGAAGGACACCCCATGGAGAGTAAATTGGGAGGCGACATGCCTCACCTCGATATCATGGCAGATCCACTCTTGGCGGCATCACGTTCACAGGTGTGATAGATTTGCAACGTCAAGCTAGTGACGTTAACTTAGCGCTTGTTGGGAGGCAACCCAACGTAGGCTTGTTTTCTTTTCCTTATTTTCATTTTGTGTCAAGTGAAGAGTTCAAGTGGTCGAGTGGTATCCCCGTGCCAGGTTTTTGTGATTGTGTGTTTTGAGTTGTGTCGTGAATGATAGTAGGCACGGTAGAGTAGGTTGAGTAAATTTTTTTTTGGAAGTACCCTATTTTCACAGTTGTTCACAGACAGATCGTTCTGTTAACAGTCTTAATCGACTGTGAATAGTCAGACGCTTCTATGAACCAAGGTGCTGCCATGTGTGTCAAACCCACTGGTTTGCCCTCGTTCACGGACAGATTGCGATGTTCATGGTCTTAACGACCATGAACTGCAAATGCGTCTGTGAACCTCATGGTCTACCTATAATAGGGCCGTGCACGTTCTTCCTTCACTTCACGACCCAAAACTCGCCGGAATCCTCTCAATGTCGTCGAAAAATTATTTTTGCTCTTTTCACCCACTTCTGGCGAGCCAAACCAAAATCCAATCGCAGACCCATTCTCTCCTCATCAAGGGAGGCCTTCGCAAAATTTTTCGGGGGATTTGGAGCACATTTTTTCCGGAGAAGTCCTTCGACAAGCTATCGGGGAAGCTCCGATGACCCTCCTCTGGCCTGTTTTTGACCAGTTTTTTGCCTCCCTCGCCCTATCCTCACTTCCCCTACCCTTCCTACTTGAGTCTCTAGGTTTGTTTTCAACTCTACCTTGTTTAATTTGGGAGAATCGGATTAGGTAGTGAAGTGAGGATAATTTTTGTGAATTGAATGTTGAACTTAGCATTAGGGCGAGGAATTAGGTGAATTGTGGTGAATGAATGTTTGCATGAGCTAGTTTAGCCTTGGTGCGCATGTTTTGATTATAATTGCTCTTATTTGTAGAATTTGCCCACCAAGTGCTAATTTGTGAATGAATGTGCAATTTTTATGCATGAGTGGTGGATGGTAGCAACCGTAGCATGGTTCGGGTTTAATTTTTCTGTGGGTAATCCGTGAAATACCTAGAACCATGCCTCGGTGTGCTTGTGCTTAATTGTTTTGAATAGCATGGGCCCGTAGTGGAAATATAAGTGGGGGGGGGGGGGGAGAATGAAAGTGTGTGGAAAAGTGGTTTTTAACCGTAGGAGAGCGCAACTAGTGAAGAAGCTTCGCTCTCTCGGTTGATGGGCCAAGGAAAATAGAGCCAACGAATGAGTTCTAGCCCAATCGATTAAGGGTTGCCAAGGCTACTCCCTCAGACTTTAATCCGGATGGCAAAACAACAACCAACTCAAAGCGCTAAAACGTAGTATGAGGTTTGCCTAATTCGGCCTAAGTAGTTGGCTCAATTGGCTAAGGAATTCCAACTTATAAAAGCCTCTTAGCAAGAAGGGAATTTCCCTCTACCTAGGTCAAATTTTCACAATAGTGAGAAATGGAAAACACAACTCAACCTTCATGAAAATGCCTAGATACTTGCATTAAAACACAACCCACACATAATACCCAAGTGAAGAGGAACTCTACTCCATAGCTAGGCAAAAGAAAACAAAAAAAATGAAAGAAAGAACCATTGTAGATGCTTGTATTCTCTCCTTGTTGATGAGAATTCTCTTAGGAGGTGAGAATCTTCACTCCTCTAACTTGAAGTAAGCCCAAATTTTCTTCTCCTCTCCTTGTTGATCACTTTCTCTATCTAGATTTTGAATAAGAAGACATTTCTCTCACTAGAAGGGACCCAAAAAATGTAAAACCAACCCCAGATACAACCTTCCCTTCTCTCTCCCAGCAGCCTTCTATTTATACAGCCCAACAATCACTTTCACGATCTGAACATCACGACCATGACTTTGGGGCTCAAACCGTGATGTCAGACAAAAATGCAGGTTCCTGGAACCGTTTTGGTCCGACATCAAAGTCACTGGACAATTATCATGGTCAGGAGACCGTGATAATCTTCAAGCTCGCCTGACGCCAAAATTCTTCTGTTTCTAGCGAACTTCACGCTCGTCTTTGGACTTTTCTTCACTTTTTTGGCATTTTTCGACTCCAATCGTCCCGAAACTCGTACTCAACCCTACAACACTTGCTAGGACCTTAAATGTATAAAAAATAACATAACCTAGCATAAAATAGGTCAAGGGACAATGGAATTCAAAGTCAAACTATCAAGAAATGAGGGGTAAAATGTGTGCAATTAGCCTCGAATCATTCAGCAGTATTCGAGCAAACATGGCATATAGAAGAATTGAAGAACCCAAGGACTTTTTCTGGAGAATTGCTCTCAGGGGCAAGAAACCTCGCACAACCCGCCACAAGAAAGACTTTATCTTCTGAGGGATGGTAAAATCCATAATGATTTCCATATTTTTTTCCATACGAGGTAGAAGTCTATCGAATTGCTCATGTTGAGATGCATATTATAACTGGTAACCCGTCTTTATGGTGTACTCTCGTTTTGTGGAGTAAAACTTTCCATTTAACCTATGGAATGGGGATCGAGATGAAGGGAGAGGGATCCAAAGAATCCATCACCCACTTTCAGCACCAAATGCTGCACGTATCAAAGTTCCATTGCAAGTTCTGGTGAGTGGATGAATGAGAGAGAAGCTACGTAAGGATAAGCTATAAAACCACCCAAGAGAAGAGTAGGTGAGGAAGGTGGTGTTGTTGGAAGCAAATGGAAGGGACCTTAAGAATAATATCTGTTTATCCCATGATAATCGGCTTTAATATATCGGATTCGTGAGCTTTATGTGACTATCTCATAGTATGTCTAAGCCAATTGGTGCTATTTTAGCGAGAATTAATCCGTAATGGTTGAAAAGCCATTACCATTTTGTGTTGGAGTTTTGGTGTGTGTTTAGGTGAAAAGATAGATAAAATGGCAGCACTGGAACTTCCGAAGCAGGAGATGGCGGGAGGAATTGGATCCATGTTTCTTCCACAACAAGTAATTGGGCCAAAGCCCAATTGATGGAGGCAATTAATTTGATGGGCTGGAGGAAATTGATTTGGGCCTGGGGAGACTTGGAAATGGGCCGGAAGCAATTAATGGGCTGGGCAATTAATTTGGATGAGGCTTGGAATTAATGGAGGGGTCGGTGGCTTTTGGTTAAAGAGTGGGGGCGGAATTAAAGTTGGGAGAGGAGAATTCTTGGGAAGGGGAAATAGAAGAAAAGGGACAGAGGCAAAAGGGCGGATTGGCAATTGATTGCTGGGCGCGGAAAATTCTTTGGAGGCGGCGAACTTCTTGGAGTGGAACGGAATTCTGGGGAGAAAAAGAAAGGCAAAAAGGACGCAGTCAAAGAGCAGCGTAGCGAGCAGGCGATTGAGCAATCGACAATCGATTCATCCAAGGCTTGAGCTGAGTTCAACGAGAGCGATTAGTTGGGTGGATTTTCTGAACCGAACTAGTTGTTTATTGTTGATTTAGAACATGATGAACAAAACCCTATTGATTTATCTCAATTCCATCATGAACTAAACCCCGATTTCTGGCGGAAACACCATAGGATGTAGCTATTTCTTGATTTGATGGATTGATTTATGATTCTTTTCTTCCAATCTCTATTGCATGAAATTACTTAATGCTTTGTGTTGACTGGCCACCAATACAATGAATCGTAGTTAATTAGGTTATTAGCGACAGTGAAACCCTAATAACTGAACATATTTCATGTGACATAGTAACTTATCGAAGCGACAGTGGATTAAATAAGGTGCTATGCGGTCTTAAATAGGATATCGATCTTCAGGCTATATAGTTAATTCATTGAGCTACGACAGTAGGATTTGAATTGATTATTTAGTACGTAGTAATTCCCGACAGGGATAGCTAGCACTTTTGTGATATCCTGGCTGTAGAGATATGGATTAAACTGATTGGAATATGTGAATTAATCTAGATAGGATAGGTAGTGAATCCCGGTGTTTCTCCCAGAGCTTTCTCCATTGAATTTCTCCCGACCATTTTACTTTGCTTAATTAGTTTATTTTGCTTTTAGATAATTAGTCTGATTAAACCATTTTCACCTATAGTTTGCTCTATAAATTGATAGAATAAAAGGTTGTACCAGTCTCTGAGAGACGATACCCGGACTTTCCGGTTTTACTACGAGATAGGAAATTGGCATATACGCTTTTGCGCTATCAAGTTTTTGGCGCCGTTGCCGGGGACTGCCACACCTTATTTTTGTTGATTTGTGTGAGTGAACTATTTTGATCTGGATGTTAGTGTGCAGAAGAATTTTCAGGTTTATCCTTCTCGTGCATGCCTAGGAGGACGACTGGCAATTTACTGCCACTTGATCCAGAGATAGAGAGGACCTGCCGACAGAACAGGAAGCAGGTCAAGTTAGGGAAGCCTCCTACCACATCCACAACTCCTAGGCCTTCCCTAACCAAGAATCGTCAACAGAGAGGGCAGGCTTCATCACCTGTCGTCCATACACCACCGGCACCACCACCTTGTGAGATCGAGCCTGTCATCATGGCAGAACAGGATCGTTCGATCAGGGCTCGCTTGAATCGAAGGACTGGAGCCCGAGCTTCATGTGTTGTCATTCCGGCTGGGGATGCAAACATGGAGATTACCCCAGCCTTCAATAATATGATCACCAATGGGTACACCTTCTCAGGGGCTAGCACCGAGGATCCTCATGAACATCTCCGCCGGTTTGCAAGCATTTGTGATACGATGAAGAGCCCGACTGTGTCTGATGATGCCATCCGTCTTCGGATGTTCTCATTTTCCCTGCTAGGGAATGCATCACATTGGTTCCAAAACCTAACACCCCGTTCCATCACAACATGGGGTCAGCTTGAGAAGACCTTTTTGGATAAGTACTTTCCTCCTGCCAAGGCTATGAAGAGGCAAGAGGAAATTGTCACTTTTAAACAAACTGAAGACGAAAGTCTGACCGAGGCATGGGAGCGCTATAAGGAGCTTCTAATTAGATGCCCGAGCCACGGTCTTGAAGATTGGAATGTGATCTCCATCTTCTTCAACGGAATCAGAAGACAATTTCGAGATGCTCTGAATAATGCTTCCCGAAATGGTTTCACAAGAATGGAAGCACCAGAAGCATATGAACTGGTGGAGAAGATATGCTCTGAAGATACTGAATAGGGTAGTGAGACCGACATTCGAAGGAGAGGAGGCTTGCATGAGATAGAGAGAGTTGCAAGCTTAGAAGCAAAAATTGATGCTAAGCTGGATTCCAAGTTCGATGCACTCGAACGAAGGCTGGCTAAGTTGGCTCTTGGTAGACAAGAGGAGGTTTCTTATTGCGAATTATGTGAAGGTGCTCATCATAGGGATCTATGTCCACTGGTGGCTGATCAGGTGGAAGATGTGCACTATATCAACAATCAGAGAAATCAAGGCCAGGGTGGTATGTATTCGAATACCTACAACCCACAATGGAGGAAGCATCCTAACTTTTCCTGGGCGAACAACAACCCAACTGGTGTTCGAAACATCCCACCTCCTGGTTTTCAACAGCAGTAGCTTCAACCAGAGAAGAAGCCCCAGCTGGAGGAGTTGATTTTGGCTCATATGCAGAAAACAGACAATAATTTCAAGGGTCTGGATCAATTTGTCACTCAACAGCTAGCCATCAACAATAATTTACAATCTTCTATGCTAGCTATGGAGAGGCAGATGGGACAGATGGCTCAAACTTTGGCAGATATGCAAGGCAGGATTCCTGGGACATTACCAGCAAATACTGAGAGGAATCCGAAGGATGCCATGGTTGTAGCAGTGACATTGAGGAGTGGAAAGGCCTTGGAAGACCCTAACAGCTCGAAAAAGGCACCAGAGGCAGAAGAGGAAGCACCGGGAGAAAGATCTAGTGCAAAGCTGAAAAATCTGACTTGCACAGGCAAACCGCATGCAATCTGCCTGTGCAAAAGCATGCTGCCCGTGTACCTAAAAAAGTGGAAAAATTGAAGAATGAAGAGGTAAAGCCTTATGAACCTCCCGCGCCATTCCCTCAAATGTTAATGAAGCCCATGGAAGACCCAAACTTCAAGAAATTTGTGAATATCTTCAAGCAACTTCATATCAACATACCGTTGGCGCAGGCACTTGAACAGATGCCTACATATGCTAAATTCTTAAAGGAGTTGTTGACTAAGAAGCGCAAATGGGCTGATCTGGAGAAGGTAACCCTTACTTTTGAATGTAGTGCTGTGATTCAGAATAAATTACCAGAAAAGAGGATGATCCGGGCAGCTTCACCATTCCATGTGTCATTGGAGGTACAGAGTTCGATAAATCACTTTGTGATCTTGGAGCAGGAATTAATTTGATGCCGTACTCAGTCTACAAGAAATTGGGATTGTGAGATGTTCTTAAGCCTACTCGGATCACTCTCCAATTGGTTGATCGATCAGTGAAAATTCCAAAGGGAGTGGTGGAGAATGTATTGGTGAAGGTGGGGAAGTTTATTCTCCCAACAGATTTTGTAATTTTGGAGATGGAAGATGATTGGGGAGTGCCTCTAATTCTCGGCAGACCTTTTCTAGCAACCGGTGATGCACTCATCGATGTTGGGAGAGGCAAGTTGACATTCCGAGTAGGTAAGGAGGAGGAAATTTTTAATGTCTTTCAAGTTGATCATAATCACGATGCATTTGTTGACTTTGAAAGTGGAGCTCGAGAAAGGAAAAATTCCTCTTCCTGTGATAGTGGACCACCAGAAGAACGATCACATGTCCTATCAGCTCAGATTCTGAAATCAAAGCAAGGGCAGAAATCCTTGCCAGGTCACCTCAAGTATAGATATTTGGGTAAGGATTTCAATCTTCCTGTTATTATTCCTTCTTCACTTACATTGAAACAGGAAGAGTACTTGCTTGAGGCGCTGCAGTACCACCTACGCCTCACTAAAGGGTCCAACATGCAAGATAAGAAGGTCATACCAAATTTTCGTACACCTGGCCCTGCAGAGATGACTCATATGTTAGATGGAGGCTATGCGTTCTATCATTGCTCGGGAGGGTATGCTGGATACCTTTCCATACCCATTGGTTGAAAGCTCCATGAACGTCAGGCTGAGGACGTTAAACAAGCGCTTCTTGGGAGGCAACCCAAGGTAAGTTTTCTTTTCTTTATTTTTCTTTTTAGTTGTGTCAAACCCGTGCATGTTTAGATTAGGAGTTGAACATTAGGGACAATGTTCCATCCTGAGTGTGGGGTGGCGAGTCTTAGTGTTTGTTTGTTCCTTTTGTCATGTGGTCGGTAAAAAAAAATTCAAAAAAAAAATGCCATTAGGTTGAGCACAACCAAGCTGCATGCAGTTTGCCTGTGTTAAAAGCAGGCTGCCTGTGCAAAGCTAATGGCTAAAAAACACCTAAAAATCTATTAAAATTTAAAACAAAACCTTGTACTCTTGTGGTAACATGATGTAAATGACTGTGATGAGTGTGAAATGAGTTTGTGCTTGAAGAATCATCGAAATCACCCAACTAGTGTTGAATTGCATAGTTCTACACAATGAGCTTGAATGTTTTGACTGACTTGATATGCTTTGAATGAACAAACTTTTTTAGCAACATTCTCTTTTGTGAGGATAGTGTAATGACTTTTGGTGAAGTAGTCAGGTGGAGAACATTGACCATTCGATATGTTTGGATACCGTGCTTACTTGCATCAATTGTGAGCTTTTGATTGTGCAACGAGTCTCTCTGTTTTGATTGTTTTATGATGGGGTGAACTGTATCTTTATAAATAAGAAAACACTACCTGACAAGTAAAATATAAGAAAGTTGCCATAACAATTAAAGTGTGGGTAAAAATGCCAAAATCGTGTGAGGCAATCACTCATTGCACATGGGGATTAGGAAAGATTCAATTGAGAATCGGTTCGCGACCGTACGATGTTGCTTATCAAGTACGATCCCCAGTTGAGTGAAGTGCCATTTGAGGATGTGCAATGACCCTCCACACGGACCGAGGATAAGGAGTTAAAAGAAGACCTTATGCGAGTGCTAAGAAGCAGAAATTACTCTTGCTCGGTCACCAGTAGTAAGAAACAAATCCCACTTGTACTAAATATGACCTCTCGGCAAGCAAAAGCAGAAAGAGAGAAAGCCTCTCCTTGTCATAAAAGGTAATGATGTGCTTAAAGTTAAAATCATGTTTGCGAAAGGCTTCCCCCATTAGTTTTTTAGACTCATGCATAATTAATTGCTTCTGATTAGTGTGAGTAAGCCAGATTGTCCTCACGAGATATGCACCTCACTAATGTGGTTAGGTTCTCCTAATAACTGTTGCACCATAAGTTGTTGATCACCCGCTACCGATGATCGAATTTGAGTGTTGCTATTTGAGTTTTTGATGGATTTAAGGGTTGCAAAGACCTTGAGTGTGGGGTGAAAGGTATGACCATTAAAGCACAACTTGTCAGTTGAGAAAGAAACTACTGATTACAACGAGAGTACAAGAAAATTTTGTGTTTTGCTTTGAGTGTTGAGTCTGTAATGTGTCATTGTTTTGGATAATTTTGTGTTTGTGTTATTTGAGTCGTTGCTTAGGGACAAGCAACAATTGAGTGTGGGGTTGTGATAATCGGCTTTAATATATCGGATTCGTGAGCTTTATGTGACTATCTCATAGTATGTCTAAGCCAATTGGTGCTATTTGAGGGAGAATTAATCTGTAATGGTTGAAAAGCCATTACCATTTTGTGTTGGAGTTTTGGTGTGTGTTTAGGTGAAAAGATAGATAAAATGGCACACTGGAACTTCCGAAGCAGGAGATGGCGGGAGGAATTGGATCCATGTTTCTTCCACAACAAGTAATTGGGCCAAAGCCCAATTGATGGAGGCAATTAATTTGATGGGCTGGAGGAAATTGATTTGGGCCTGGGGAGACTTGGAAATGGGCCGGAAGCAATTAATGGGCTGGGCAATTAATTTGGATGAGGCTTGGAATTAATGGAGGGGTCGGTGGCTTTTGGTTAAAGAGTGGGGGCGGAATTAAAGTTGGGAGAGGAGAATTCTTGGGAAGGGGAAATAGAAGAAAAGGGACAGAGGCAAAAGGGCGGATTGGCAATTGATTGCTGGGCGCGGAAAATTCTTTGGAGGCGGCGAACTTCTTGGAGTGGAACGGAATTCTGGGGAGAAAAAGAAAGGCAAAAAGGGCGCAGTCAAAGAGCAGCAAAGAGCAGCGTAGCGAGCAGGCGATTGAGCAATCGACAATCGATTCATCCAAGGCTTGAGCTGAGTTCAACGAGAGCGATTAGTTGGGTGGATTTTCTGAACCGAACTAGTTGTTTATTGTTGATTTAGAACATGATGAACAAAACCCTATTGATTTATCTCAATTCCATCATGAACTAAACCCCGATTTCTGGCGGAAACACCATAGGATGTAGCTATTTCTTGATTTGATGGATTGATTTATGATTCTTTTCTTCCAATCTCTATTGCATGAAATTACTTAATGCTTTGTGTTGATTGGCCACCAATACAATGAATCGTAGTTAATTAGGTTATTAGCGACAGTGAAACCCTAATAACTGAACATATTTCATGTGACATAGTAACTTATCGAAGCGACAGTGGATTAAATAAGGTGATATGCGGTCTTAAATAGGATATCGATCTTCAGGCTATATAGTTAATTCGTTGATTATTTAGTACGTAGTAATTCCCGACAGGGATAGCTAGCACTTTTGTGATATCCTGGCTGTAGAGATATGGATTAAACTGATTGGAATATGTGAATCAATCTGGATAGGATAGGTAGTGAATCCCGGTGTTTCTCCCAGAGCTTTCTCCATTGAATTTCTCCCGACCATTTTACTTTGCTTAATTAGTTTATTTTGCTTTTAGATAATTAGTCTGATTAAATCATTTTCACTTATAGTTTGCTCTATAAATTGATAGAATAAAAGGTTGTACCAGTCCCTGAGACACGATACCCGGACTTTCTAGTTTTACTACGAAATAGGAAATTGGCATATACGCTTTTGCCCTATCATCCCACATCCGACCTGCCACTGAAGACCCCTCCTTAAGGAGATGACGGGCTTCAAGGACCCATGTCAAGCCCAAGAAGGACAATTACTCGAGCAGTAAAGAAATTACAATGAAGGTAATATCGTGCCTTGTACATCCATGCAAGCGGGGAATTAGGAGACTTAAGAACCTTCCAAATTTGATTGGCCATCATTGCCACATTGAACTTATCAAAATTCCCAAAGCAAAACCCCCCATGAAACTTACACATATATTGTATCCCATCATCCTTATCATGACATGCCCACCAAAACTAAGCTAATTGGCTATTCAATATACGACAAATTGATGGAAGTCTAAATGAAAGCATAGTACAAATAAGTGTTGCAGAGCCAACCACATTAATCACCACCTCTTTAGCCGCTAAG